CCGCCTCCTACCGCGGCCCGCCCCCGCGGAGCTTGCGTCGCTGGCGTGCGCCCCGCTGCCTCGCGTGGGGTGAAACTGGGCAAAGTCGCTGCGGGACGCTGCCCCACGAGAAACTTGTCCTTGGGACGCTGAGGCCCCAGTGCAGGGTGGCACCCCCTCAGCTCCCGGGGATTCTGGGTGTTGGGGGTGCAGCGTGGGGAGGGGGGCTTTGAGAGGAGACCCAGGCGGGTCCATACATCGCTCGGCCACCCCTCGGGCGGTGGAAAGTGGGGTGAGGTCTTGCAGGAGCCGCTGGAGGCCGCTCAGTCCCGTTCTCTGGTACCCACCTCTGAGTGCTCTAGCCAGAGAGCGCTGTGTGAAAGCCGGACACTGTCCTCTGCTCCTTCCCACAGCTGCAATTTGTGAGCCACCCAGGCCCGTCAGCTTATTAGCCGTGCTCTGGGAACGGGTATCAGACTGATCAGAAAGCACCCAGATCCCAGACAGCCTGGGGTCAGAGGCACAAAGCCGGCGCAGCTCAATGCATGAGTGACAGCGTAAGCCCGAGTGCCAAAGGTCCAACGAGGAGGTGAGTCTGGTGCACTGGAGTTAGCTGGCCCTGAGCCACATTGCAGGTGTGGACTTCAGCATTTCAGATGCTCAGCTCTTCTGGGATCTGGGCTAAGGGAACACCGTAGCCCTACACTGCTGTACGCAGGCCTAGGTGCACACACATCTTCATCTGCAGCCTTGCTTGTCTGTCACGAGAAGAGCATTCCTCGGTAATCAAAGGAGTTACAACCAAAGGAGATGCTTTTGTTTGAAAGAAACTGCAGATTAAATACCCATAAGGGCATTTTTGAAATAGATTATCCTCTGTCTCCCTGTAATTACCTTGACATAATTAAGACCACAAGAAAACAGTTATGGCTATGCAATGTCCTTGCCCCTTACGATGTTAACGATTGTGCTGGTTCCCAATTTGGAGAATGCTGAAGAGAGGGAATTTGCATTGAAAAAATGGAAACTGCACTGAACTACCAATGCCTCACCCGCTGTGTACAATGCCTCTTCTGCCTCTCAGTTCCCTGTCCCCAGGGCAAGATACTGAGCTATCAACAGGACAAGGATGTGAGGAAGAGGGGAAGAAAGCATTGCCCAGGCCCAGAGGAACGAATAAAGGGTCTGCATTCAGTATTCAGCATCTTTTCTGTTGTTTTCCCACCTATTATTCTCTTCTCCACCTGAGGAAGGTAATATAGCCCAAGGCACGTGAGATGGAACAACCACTTGTATTTGGATTTCTCTCAACTCAAGACTGGCTGCATGTTACACAATTTTTTTTGTGGGAAGGTGTCTTGTGCCTACAAACAATTGCATTTCCGTATGAATCATCCACTGTCTTAACTCCTGGTTGTAATGCTGCTTTCAGAGTGGGTTTGCAGGTGGAGAATAGGTTTAGCAAGTATGTCACCTACCCACTGGGCTGTCCCTTAGCAGTGGTCATTAGTTGTTCCTGGTCATTCTGGTTAGCACAAATGCCTCACTTTAAATTCTGGTCCGCAGCCAGCTTGTGGCCTTTGTGGTTTCAGCTGGGAAGGAGTTAATCTATCTGTGAGATTCTCCTGGTTAGTGAAAAGTTGTGCCTTCTGGACTTTATTCCCCTCTAGGAAAAGGTGTGTACACAGGGCTGTCTAGTCACTGCAAGGCACAAACAAGAGAACTGCTTTTCTAAGAACAGGCACAGAGATGAAACTTGTGCCACACTATGGGAAAGGACCTCCCTTCCCATACGCTAGAGCATGAGAGAATAAGGCACAGTATCAGATCTCTGGGAGAATTTGCAAGATCTGCATCAACTCTGAGAATTTTTATAACTTTGAAGGAAATCCTACTGGTGCAGATGAAGGAAAGACTTGTCCATGGATAATACAAATATAGTTTTCTCAGTTTTGTCTACATTACTAGCAGCTCTCCCCATTTCTTGGAAAACAGCAGCAGGACATGTCTACCTGATATACCAATATCTGTTTGAACAGGAGCATCTTCTAATTTTTAGCACATCCTCAAATTAAAATCCTCTAAGAAAGAATAACCTGCATGCATGGTTAGTAGTCTGCTTTTTTGGATACTCTCTGAATCATCCATCTCCTTCCCTTCCCCCAGTCAGCAAGCTGCACAAATGTAGTAAGGAGTCTAATTTGTTTTCTGCCTTGCTAGTTGGCTGTGTATTCCATGCACCCACCTGCAGTCTCTTCAGCCCTTGTGTAGGCTGTGTGATCCTATGTGCACTGTAAACATTTGAAAATACCTTATAATCTCTAAGCTCTGCCAAGGCTGAGATGAACATGTAGAAGTGAGACTCCAGAAAAAAAAAAAAAAGATCAACAAATACCTGTCTTTGCATGAAAACAACATTTGGAATAGCTTTTTCACCATCCGCAAAGCTCTGATACACTACAGGGATTATGGAGCCAGCTGCTAGTATTGAGTGAACACCTGGTACCCCCAGGTAGGAAAAAGGAAGCTCAAGAGAAGATGTTGCAGCAATACGAGATGTACACAGAAGGGCTGCAAAAAAGCTCAAAGTTATAGAATTATTTTTGCATAAAGACAGGATAAACAGATTTGGGATCTTCAGCTTGGACAAAAGACAATGGTGAGGAATGGGCAACACAGGCGTAGAAGATGATGACTAGTATGTAGAAGTGAATGGGGAATGGCTATTCATTATTTCCTACCCTTGGGAACAATGGATTTGAAGTAAACCAGGCAACACATTTATGTGCGAAATTAAATTATGTCAGAGGATATTCTGATTATGAAAAGTGTAAATGCTCTCAAAAAGCAGCTGGATAAACTCATAGGAAGACAAGCTATGAGGGCTATAAAACATGAAGATATGTCTACAACTACTGACTCAGGAGGCCCTTGAATTGTGGGTTTGCTTTCTTGATAGCTCTGCTATGACAGGACCTCTGACCACTATCTTTTCGGCCTTGACATGACAGACTCCCCACCAGTAGTGGTAAAGATGACAGGCTTCTAGGAAGCAACAGTTCTCCTCTGCTCTGAAAGGAGCTCTCTCGTGCCCAGCATCTGTCCTTGTCTAGGGCAAGCTCTGCGTGTATTTCTGGCTGCAGCTCATTATTCCACATTTGCCATTCTCTCTCACCTCCAATGGAGACTTAAGCCATGAAGTGACTATTCATAGAGTCACTCCCTCTTTGAGTCCCTGAGATATCAGGGAGAAATGTCTGCTTGGTTTCAGCTTGTCCCTGTTTGCCAGGACCCGTGACCTTACCTCCCTGGTTCTGAAATAGTCTGAAGGAGATTTACCACAGTTTACAGCTCCTTTTCCCTGCAAGGGTCATAGTACGCTGTTGTGAGCATTTAATACTGTCTGTAGTTTGGACTTGGCACTAGCTTATAGGAACAGCATGGTGGAAAAGTAAATCACTACTTGGGAATTAGTTTGGCTAAAACAACAGTATTCTACTGATTTTTACAGTCGGACAGACTACACAAAAGGTATACAGTCATAAAGACTGCTTGTAGACGATATACAATGTGGTGGCAGAACATAATCTGACCAGGATGCTGAGCTTTCAGCTCAAAACTTGCCAGCGCTTTGTGAATGCAATGATCCAAAGGCACAGCAGGTTAATTACAAGATGATACTATAGTGTTAATATCTGGAACAATAGCTGTTGTAGAGCAGCTAATATAACTACACAGAAACTGCAAGAAATTTAAAGCGTAGGCACCTTCTTCATTTTTTTGCAGACTACCTTGTTCCCCACCACCAGCGTTACTGATACGTTTTTTTCCTAGGAGGCCCAAAGATCATTGTGCTGTGGGAAAAATGAAACAGGATGTCACAGAATCAACAGGCCTTTATATGAAAAGCCCTTGGTCACAAGATGGGCAACAGAGCATACAGTACATGGAGCAGGAAATAGGTCTGCCCTCACAGAATAGCAGATAATAAAAGAATTACTGCAGGAGTGGGTAGCCTGGTCTTACCTTAACAAATTGCCTAAATGTGGGCATGATAAAAGGCTGATTTTTTTTTTTTTTTCATCAAAATCTCCCCATCTTCAGGCTAACTGCTGACAGAGTCCAGAGGAAGAAGAAAAGTTCCAACTGGAATATTAATCCTGTGGGATTTGGGAATAATTGCAGAGTTACAAATTGAAAAAGAACTCACACCTGTGGTCATTAAGGTTATAAAGTCCCATTTGTATTGCTACAAAAATGAGGTGTTATAATTAACTTCTAATAGCCTTTGCTTTCCAGGGGGATTAAAATCTATTCTGCCTTCATCATCCCTAAGGCATGAAACCCATTTATAGCAGAGATTATCAAATGGACAGATGCATGTAAAATATTTCAGAACCAGACTCGGTAAGACCTGTGGGCTTGATCACCTATTTTTCCTCAGAGCTGTTTCTTTTTTCTGCTAGCTTTCACCCTTGTATTCTACACGCACACACTTAGCTCAGCATCATGTAACTCTCAAGCTCTCTTTTTTGGGCATTACGCCTAGCATGAAAATTTTAGCCTGCTAACAGTCATAAAACAGTTTGTTGGGGACACATATCAGACACTGAGCCCCCAAATTTGGTAGTCATAGGTCCCCTTATACGTAATATACAACCCAAAATTTAATATTGTACAGTTCTTCTCTTGAGCAATATTTAATCTTTCACTGGCAAATACATCTTCGCTGCATTTGGAGCTACTGTGGTTTATAGTTACCCTTTTGAAGTGACATAACACATACAAATATCTGAATGTCCAGCTTGGTTTAGCTACAAGCATTATATTACTTCCCAAACCTATCAATATAACTATCACTTAACGCTCTTGGCACATGGCTAATACAGGATTACTACAGCAACTTGGAGCCTCCCCTGCTGACCTCACATATACAAATCTATAATTAGGAATTCCCACACCAGGACTTTGAAATGCAGAATATGCATTTTATTTTGCAAAGCCATCAGTACCTATTTTATGTGATTATTTCAGTTATGGTTGAATTGAATAAAAAAAGAAATTCCTGGAGTTACTTGCAATAACAGCTTGATTCCATCTTTACTGATAATGTAGAGTGACAGACTATAATGGCAATAAATATTTCTTTTAATGTTTTCTGCTTTTAATTGATGTCCTACTTCCTACTTAAAATCCATCTTCTTGTTAAGGTTCTCAAAGTAATTTTTAACTATATGTCAATAAAGTCACAAAATGCTAGGTAGCTCAATAAATAAAACAATGCAATGTGCACTATCATTTCCTCTGGAAGAGACAGAAAGGACATAAGAGAATGGGTTAGTCTCTCAAAGCTGTATCTGGGCAAGAACATAGAGCAAGACTATAGAAGCCAGTCAGGTAATTATAATATCAACAGAATTCTGCCATGTACCTTTATGCATATTTATGTATGTCAGCGTGTACCATACAGTTTGTGCACCTAGCAGTTAGAAAAAGGAGGATTACACCTGGTAGCTATGATTTGCAGACTCAGACTGTTAAAAATTTATAGCGGAACAGAAATTACTTCTAAGATTTTAAAGAAGGCTGCAAAACCCTAGAAGGGCATGTTTTTCAGGAAAAAAAAGAGATATTTTTAGCTTTATTTGGGAGGGCTTTTGATTGAGCATGTCAGTAAGTCATAATATTTACACAGCTATAGTCATGGCTTTTATTTCATTGAATAAAAAATAAAAGCTTGGACCTTACCAAAATCAACTGCGAGTTACAAAATACAAACACAGGGCAGTTTCATTTATCATGGATATGTGGCCACAAATGAATGAAAAAATAGCACTGTCATTTTTCAGTCACAAATTCTTAGGGATTTAGATAGCATCTCTTCAGATTTTTCTGAAGCATATAGGGCATTAATCCAGTTCTGATTCAGCAGAAAAAGTACCACCCCTTGATTCATCTTCACCATTTCCTCTTTCAGGTAGGTCTCCCATTCAGTTAATAACTGGGTCGTAGCCCATAGCAATGTGGCCTGAGACATGCGTGCAATGCTAGAAGCTTGTCATTCATACTTCAGCAGTAGGTTTTGGTTTAGTCAGTCCATGCAAGTAGGACAGTTCAGCACAAATGTCATGTAAAAATAACACAGCACAGGAGCAGCAGCATTGTTCACATAGGGGTGTGACTTGGCCAGGTCACGTAATTGAACTGGTTAAGGTAGGTAGGAAAGCAGAAAACAGGCACACCCCACCATTAACACTACAGTTATATTGTTAGGTAGCTGCCTTTAAAATCACATTCCACTCTCTTGAGATATCAAAGGATAGACCTCTTCCAAAAGACTGATTTCAGCATTGTCATTGTGGCAGGAAGTAAGGAAATTTTAGAGGCAGAAATAAATTGTGGAGTGCAAGTTCTTCTATAAGTGTAAGGCACGGACATATTTCAGGGAGTGGGAGCATTAAGGACAGAAAATCACTACATGTATTTGACTGACTTCTTTTAGCTTACAAAGGGGAAGATGAGACACATTTTGCCTTTATTTCTCCACAGGAAAGGAAACATAGAAAAGGAAGAAGGGGAAAAAAAAACTCTATTCTGTTTCAGCTCTATTTTATGATAGAAGCCCAGAATAGCAAGTGGTGGACTTCAGCCCTGCTTCAGGGCAGAGTATGATGGAACATTTTTCTAACCAACAAAGCAACATGGCATTTATCTAGAACATCTGCACAGATGCTAGAGAAGTTCTTGGTTGTCTGGCTTCCCCCTTGTTTTAGATCTGGTTTAGGGCCTCCATGTTCCCCATCTCAGAATGATACACATGGGAATTCAGCAGTTCTTAATGATTCGCCCAGCCCATTGCCAGTTCACACACAGCTGGGACAGGGAGCTGTGCACAAAAGTTGCGAAGTACAAGTGGAAGATCTGGTTCCATTATTTATTTTCTTTCTACATACTAAAAAGAAGTTTATTAGAAGTTATATTAAAAGAAAATAAGGTGGAAGGGGAGGTATTTTAACTGTAAAATATCAGGTCATACTGACTCTTGACATCAGGGGACTTTGATCAGGAAAACTTTGGTCTCTCCAGCTCCAAAAAATGCTCTAGTGGACCTATGTGTATCTACAGTATAATGAAATTTTCTTATCCTGTCATCAAGAATTGTCTCATTTCCTCTGGGCATAAGTCATTACAATAATAGAAAAAGAAGTAAAAAGTTATAATCAATACAGAAGACATTGTTGAGCCTAACTGAAGTTATTAGGAGGCAGCATAGGGAGGACTAAATAGTTAAGGGTACTTACTAATAGCTCAACCACAATGACTAAATATTACTTAGAGAAATACCCCTCTAATGACAGACTCAGTCCTAGGAAGGAAATGGATTCACACACCTAACCACTTATATATTTGGTCACACACTGTATCTGTGAATCTAGATGGTCACTCCCCAGATTTCCAATGTGTCATTCTTCAGGCCACTTCAGGCCAGAAGGAGTATGTTTTTCTTTCACCTGCATATAGTGCCTCATCCAGTTAGCAAGAATGCAGCTGAGTAGCATGGTTCTGGGTCCTGATCACAGAGGAAGAGATTTGAACTATTCCAGGAAGGCACTTTCAAGAAGTATTACAGACTTTGAAATAGATCAAACCGGTATCAGTGACTTGGACCAGTACAGCAGGATTTCCTGACATTCTGCCTGCTTGATGATAATGTGAAATCTAAATAAACCTGTGGCTTTTGAGTGACAAAGGCTGGTCTACAAAAGCAAATAAACCAGTTTGCAAGATCAGTCATAATTCAGAAATTAATATTTCTACTACGAAATTAAATGTTTCTGCAGTGGAACTATTCCCATCAGGTTTCTCTCTCCAGAGAAAACCACAACAAAAAGTAGTGAGTACTTGATCAAAAGACCTTTAAAATGACTTGAAAGACCCATTCACTTCTGTTGGGTTTTGACTTATTCCGTAAATTTATTCCAATCAGGAGATTTGGATGGCAGAAGTCTCCATAACATTCTTTTGCTTTCCCTGCATTTCAGAATGTGCCTAAAGTTTACTAAGCCTTACGTAACTACTTGAATCCAAGGGAAATGCAGGGAAAAAATAAATACACAGAAAGCCATGCACAGTGACTATATTATGACAAACTCTTTGCAGGCTCTGGGGAAGGCCGATTCTCTTTCCTATCACTCTTAACTCCATTTTATCTTACTCTATTCAGATGCCTGGCCCTATCTCTAGTGCTTCTGACATGCCTTTGTAAAAAGATTTCAAACCATGTCTGTTGATGAAGTCTTTAGTTGCCCAAATTAATTTTAGTTATATTTAATTTTGTAGATAGAGATTTCTAAAAGGTGTCATTAGCATTAAC